CCTTCTCCTAGGCCTAATTATCTATGCATGAGCATGCGCAATACCACATGAGTCCGTATTTCATAAAACCTTAATTCATGCTACACCGGCCGCGATTGCTTTACGAACGAGGCTATTATTGCGTACTCAAGGGAATTCCCGTTTCGGGCCAACAGGATCGATTTCATGTAATTGAAAGAGTCATATCCGTTAACTGAAAATAATCGATTCCCGTTAGTTGGGATAGGGTGAGTACAGCTCTTTCACACAAGGCCTCTCTCAGTTCAATGTTAGTTATTATATTTATTTTGAAAGTTGGAGTAGAGAGAGACATTAACTGTGTATGAAATAAGCAATAATGATGTAAGTAATTAATGTCAACTTGGAATCGATACTGAACTCTCCCTACCGATTATTTTCCCCATTTAGATACCTATGATGTCATACACTAAAAATAAGCCCGTGAAATTGACCTCGAACGAATAATTTTAATTAGAGCATGTTTACATAATATACGGGGGGAGACCGTGACTCGAAATATAAATCGAATGGAAGAAAACATTTCCTTGTAAACCAATTTTCTGATTCTGGGTTTATATATTTTTCTCGATCAAATTCTAAACTAGTATTTATTAAACGAATACGACTAATGACGAGCAGTATTGTCACAATGGACTTTGTATTACACGGCCATGAATATAGTGCGATGGTTTTCAATCGACGTGCAGTCCATTCACATTCTGTATTATAATTTATTATCGATAGCTCTCTGCTACGTTCAACGCAATTTCGCATGCGCCCTTCACACGCTGAAGTGTTGACACAGAGCTATATTTAGTCATTTGTCGTGACGTATAATATGACAGGTCCGTTGTGCACTTGACGCGTCTATATAAACATCAAATGTATGTTGGTGTATCTGCGTGTGCATAACCACGGGTACTGGTCATACTGTCATTCAACCGAGGTTTTTAAATCCACCTCGATTTGTAGTAAAACTTAAAACAACCTATTGGTTGACACTGACATAAAATGCTGACAGTTAAAACATTTAAGATTACGGCTTTCCCCTTTTAATTGCAAGAAATAACTTGAGACTGTAAAAGTACACGAGTACAAACTTAGTGCGATTTCTCCACTGATACTATAGGCTACAGTGTTGTAATCGAGAACTTTTCTAAGATCTCACATGAAGCTTCTGTTCGTGAAATACCAGATTTGACTGAAGTAAAACATGAATGAATGATGGAAAATTATCGGTCCTCGGACATTTTGGATTGAGTGAGTGTTAAAAACGAGATTCAAAATCAACTTGAATCAGGAAGAGTCCATATTGATCTAAAAAGGTCTTGAATCGATGTGAGATTTTGACTCTAAAAATACATTTATGCCCAAAAGATGAATGCTGATTCAAATATATACAAATCAGTATTCTTTTATCATTCCAGTATTTCACTTATTTTGTAATTGAACATGTAAGGGAATGAAATACGATTTGTTGAAAGTTTCGGAAATGTTTCGAATACAACACTGTTAACTATTAATACATAAATTTCATAGAATTTCTATATAGTACGCAAAGCATTTTTTTAAAAATACGAATTGGTTATACAAACGTCTTTGACAAGTATCCAACTCCAAAACTATATACTTTAGCAAGAAAAATCTACAAAACCAACAGAACACACCCCCTTAAAAGAGTCCCAAAAGAAGATAACAAATAAACAACAAAACACAACACCCCCAAGAAATGCCTACATTATACCAATGCCAAATCATTGCCCTAATTCACTACGCATGGACGCAAAAAGTCTATCGGCCTTTATAAGATTGAGTCAAAAAATAGTGCAAAAAAATCCAAAAAATATCCCCCCCACCATCGTCGCCGTATATCTGAAAAGCGAGGCTTACAAACTTTACTTAGGCCAAAAAAAGTCTCTGGTTTCTGGTAGTGGTATGGAGCTTGCCCCAAAAGTGGTGTGCCAGGTGCGGCGATGCGTCCCCCCCCCCAACTTTTCTTCAAATGTCGGCTGATGTTGCAGATGACGCTTCGATCCCCTTAAAACTATCAAAAATATCCTTCCGGTTGGAGATTGATGTGACCTCAGTCAGACCATAAGGCTTGAGAATTCTGCACCCACTTACGATCTCGACGTGACCGACACGAACATTCTTCGGGATATGTGGATAGTCAAGACAAATCAGAGAAAACGGTAACGTCAGACCATACAGCGACTTCCATGCATCGACATCGTGCATGAGCCGACAGGCTGGTCATTAGTCTGCTCCCTTACGTATTGCACTGATTAAAAAGTGTTTACAGGTTCCAGATACACAACCATCGATCGTTCCCTCAGTCTGGATTTCAGACGTTCAATTACAAAATTACAACACATTCTGCAAATGGTGCCCGACTAAATGAAGTGAATAACTACATGGGACCCCAGAAAGGCCACATAAAGCTTATACTCGATCGTATAGCCCCATCTAATATGGATGGCGCGCAGACCAGAAACCGGAGACTTTTTTTAGGCCTTAGTGACCTATTTTTCTTCTTGCCAGCTTGTCAAAACGATTGCATGATAAATAGTTGAAGAACTGTATTTTGGCGCTGAGTTTTCCTCTTAGTTCAGCTCATTTGAGTTATACATTCTCTTTAATTGCAAAGTCTCTGTGCATCGACAGTCTGGAACACTCGTTCATCATAAATTATGAATCACAGAGTTTTATATAAAAACCATGCACAAAGAAGCCAATTTTCCAAAATTCGAATCTTTCACAACTTCCGTGAAAGCATCTAATTGGTAAACTTTTGCAAAAAGTAATATTAACCTTTGAAAACCAATCCAAACCAACTTAAACATGTAACTTATAATTATATTTGGTTTTGTATCATTAAGGTGTCATTTTTATTATTTTTACGGGAATTGAATGGTTGCAAACAGATCAAGGAGAATAAGTCCCGTGTAGACTCCAACTCAGTCTGAAGTTTTGTTGAGCGAACAATCAAGACTTATGAGCTTTGCAGCCAAGTTTCGATACAATACAAGAAATGAATAATATAATTACCGAGTGCTTACTATTTGGCTTGTACCTCTGATTTCATGGGACCAATATATGACTATTGTCTCCAGAAGGTCTCATAATAATCAAAACTATATCTTCGTTAGAATAGATATCCCTTTTAGACAGACTTGCAAAATTAACTGATTGCCTCTCCCATAAAAAACAGGAACAACTACAACAAAAAACACCAAAAAAATCCCCCAAATAATATAATTCCCCCCCCCCAAAAAAAATCAACAGCCGATTAACTGAACACTTTTGGCACGTGATCTGCGATGAAATGTATATCGTGAGGCACTTTTACGAAGGCTGCACATCGATCTATAATAATTCACCCGAGATGATGTCAACCACTGTACTTGCCCTAAACGGTAAACCTCCGCAAACTCAATGTAGCTAGCCCTTAACATTAACACGTGCGTGAAATACCGGGAAGGTCTACACATATTTTTTACCAGTCCTTTCTAGTACTTAGTCCATTTTGCATCACTCGCTAATATAATCTTTTACAGAAAACAAACTACCGACCAAAAATAATCTCTAAATGCATATTTACAAAGCAAATACTAAAACTCCCACCATGAATTATTAACAAATTAACACGCAGGACTTTCGGTCAGTTTATTTCTGTACAGGCAGGCATTTAACAACAAAGTATTTCACACTTCAGTTTGAATTTGACGAGCTCTAGTGACTTTCCTCATAAATATTTCATTGCTTGACATTTTTTGATGTATAAAATCGGTATCCAGTCGCACACATCAAACATGGATGCCCAAAACTGACGCCATTATTTTGACCCCCACCTTTCTATAATAGTCATCTGATGACAAGGCATGCGGCACTTTCACCGAGAGACAAAAACCCCGAGGCGAATTTTGCAGAGACTAGTGCACCCTGCAGTGCACAATGCAGACCCGCCACTCGCCATTGGTGGGGATAGTCTCCGTTCCATTCAACCTGTGTCCATCTTTCACAACCAAAGTCGTTCGTTTGTTGTAGGTCTATCTGTGATGATTAATACCGAAAGGATTTTACGGATAACATTTTAAGAAGACCGTTGAATACTTTCAAAGTTGTCCCCTCCCCCCAACCCCCCCCCCCCCCAACCCCATCAAACAACTTATTTAACCACTTTTAACTTTCTGTCTAATTTTGGGGGGTTAACTTATGACTTGTGTAATTTGTTTTCCCTCCAAAGGTTATGATCCGTTGATGCAGTCCTGAAGTCGATCGCCATTCACACAAAAAACTGGTACCTCCACTCGATTGCAAAATTGAACGACTTTCAGGTCTAATTTTACTGAAGATTTCTCAGAAATACATCTTCACAAACCCTCAAATAAAGGGTCACAATACCCTTATTATACGAGAGAACTCTACAGTATACAAATCATGATTTGTTCTGCGGGTGGAATATACCTTATGGGTTACAGGCATCTCCGCGTATTCTTTGTTATTTTAATTTCGTAACAATGAATGAACAAGAATGTACAAAAGGGTCACTCACGCCTTTTCAGACAATTCAAAACCATTGCACTCTATAACTCCGCCTTAACGCATAATGCCCAAAAAAAGTCTCCGGTTTTTGGTATGCGCGCGCGTCGCCGTAGCCATGCGCGTCGGCAAAATGAAAACGTTTTTTTTCAATGAAAGATGATGTCTCAAAACCGCCAAACTCACTGGTTTGACTGGAATCCTGCTGCTGCACAATTTTAACGTGTTTTTAGATTGGGTTATGGTCGAGAATAAGCTTTATGTGGCCTCTCTGGACTCCCATAGGCCTATATTTGCACTAAGTTTAGTCGGGCACCATTTGCAGTTATCAGCACACATTTGAAGCAAAAAAATCAGGTAAAAAAAAAAAGCCGCGTCGCCGCACCACTTTTTGGGCAAGCTCCATACCAGAAACCGGAGACTTTTTCTTTTTGGCCTAAGGTCTATTTGGGGCTTATTCACTGGCGTGCTACCTTTACTGCATCAATTTTGATGGCAATTCTCTCGGTGTTGTCTGTGATCCAGCGAGTTAGATCCAAAACCTGAAAGGTCTTTTCTTCCTGGTTGTCTGGTTGTATGGACACTTTGCCCGGGATGTCGCCACCTTCATCGCACTGTTTAAGAAATTCCTCCATTGCAATGAACTGGTAGTTCTCCTCATCTGTGCACGGCTGAGCCTGTGGGGGAAATACACTCTATAAATAAGTGATTTAAAGTGTGCATTTCAAAGTACATGTACATTTATGATATAATCAGCTTATAGCATGGTGCTCGACCATTCAAAGGAAGCTGAATGTAATTTTCAATATAACTTAGGCTTTTAACAATTTCGAATTAAATATTATTGATACATGTATTACTCTGTCAAAGCCCCAACATTAATTTTCTTGGTGATGAAATAACCATTAAAATTATGTCCAGTTTTGTTTTAAAGAGTATAGATTCCTTCTTAACAATGTGTTGTTTAACATTAGAGAACAATGTTCTTCAACACATATAATTACGTGTGTGAAATGTGACTGCAGGCACAGTTACAGAGACAGAGCTACAATTGTGGAAGCCTTTTGAAAAGTTCAACGTGAGTTTTGACATTTTTGACTGAGTGGCAACTGAGCTGCGAGGTGGCGCAAATCAAGCGAAGACTACACGGTACAGAGGCCGCGTGATGAATTCACTTGACAATTGGCGTGTGAAGCCGCCACTCGCCCCGATAGCATCGCGGCTTCGCCTCTCAGTCAAGGTTTCAATCCATCAAATACGCGCTCATAGAAAACAATACAAAATCGGACACAAAAAACACCGCCTGGTAACGCTCAGGAGCAATGCGGCAATGTGTTTTGCACTGGAAATTTAAGATTAGACCTCTGGGACATTTTTCTTTCAATTTCAGCAGTGATAGCCGTATATTTTTTTTGATATATTCCCTTAATCACCCCTAAATCGGTTACCAATCTCTGGGTCCAGGTTTAAATGTAGTCCCCTCCTCTATGCGATGGCTCACAGACTGGTGTTTTCTGAGAATGAAATCCCCTAGTTGGAAGTTGCAAGTAACAAATGCTTGATCTCCAGAAATGTTTCTACAATCTGTCACAAGATTAGGCCGCAAGGAAATGTGGTTCAAAATTACCCGTGGGATCACTAAATATCAATGAGCTGGCGTGCATGAATTTACGATTCTTTGATAACAGCTTTTGAGGGACTTTGGTGATAAAACAAATGGACCAATGACAGAGAAAATTTACATGAAATGAAAAGCCACTCCAAAAAGATGAAAATGCGATTGCTGGCTTTTTCTGAAATGCGGCGCTGCAGTTTGTCTGCTGCTTGTGATTTCTGCAGGTTATTCAAAGATGCGTGCACATTGAAAATAGCACAGTGGTCAAAAGAGGATTGAGGCCCTTTCCCCTCCTGGAAATGCAGGAGAAACTGAAGAGTAAAAAAAATTTTGGGGGAGGGAGGGATGGTCTGTTGATTCATAGCCCAGCGAATATGTGACAATTATGATTTTTTTTCATAAAAGCGTATTCTTTCGCCAGTGTCTTACAATGTTGGTTGGCCTGTAACCTATATGACGTCATTAATTTCAACACTTCCACACGAGAGCATTTACTTGAATTTACTTGTTTTCATGGGTAAGTAGGATCAGCGCTACACAGCAACTATTTTTTCTTGAAACACATCAGGTGGATGAATAAATATCACACGGTTTTAAGTAACTTCTTATATATAGTTTATTTTCCAAGGCAGGTAGCGTGGCTGCAGCTCGCTGTGTCGTGCTACGCTAAAAAACGGTGGTCGAAATGATGCAGGTTGAGGGTACGGATCTCCGAAAGTTAACATTTTAATTTTTTTTTTTTACAAAAGTGATTTTTCTTTCCTAAATTGTCATACTGATCAAAAAATATATTTCTATTTTGTTTTTTCATTCATGGCCATAGAGGATTTGGGAAGTTAAGTCCGAGAACCATTCCGTTACCAACTGACGCATGCACATTATGGTAATTGACTATACTTTTTGTTTACAGAAAAAATAAATGCTATCCGTGCAGTGTGTGCGCGCGTATATGCAAACTGCTCAGAATAACAAAAACACCCGTACCCGCCTTGGACCAAGTCCACCATTAACCTAGTCTGGTTCCCAGACCAAAAAATTCTTACTATTCCTGATGAATCTTAGGTCCAGTAGCCTCTGGTAATACATTGTATTACAATTTACATCACGTGACTAAAACGGGAGGAATTCTTCCTTTTTTCCGAAAATTTCCGAAGTTTGCCGAAGTCGTTTCGTCGACAATCGGATAGCGCCCGAGTATTTCCGAGTATATAATATGGGTTTGATTAACTGCTAATTGCTTATTAATTCTATTTTAAATGGGTTGATAATTAATATTTATTGCTTTCATTTAGAAAACTTGAAATTCAACGACATTTTGTGCATCAAATATACTCGGATCGTATGGGCGAACTTTCTGCTGCGTCACGTACAATTTTGAATTTGACGACCGTTACTGAGATTTTCCAAAACTCGGTCTTCATTCGGCTCCGCCTGCTAACAGTGCTATTTGGGTGCCTAATTTTGAAGATTTCAGATCAACATTAGTCAATGTTATCTTACAGAAACATTAAACCGTATTATCATAACTGTGTGATATTATGAAGCAAGTGATTTATTTAAAAATTTGATCAGAACATTACAAGCTAAAAGTGATAAAGCAAAATCGGAAACGAAGCCGAGCTTTGAAAAAAGGGCCATAAATGTCGTCATGTTTATTTTTAGCCACGGAGGCTGCCTGACCTACAATTTCGACGTGAGCGTCGGGAATAATTGTCAGGTCTGGGAACCAGACTACCATAAACCGGTTCATTAGTGTGACGTCATTTCAGTTTAAACCACGCCCACCGGCCATTAAATAGCACTGGAACCATTGGAACCGGCAGCTAACGCAACTTGAGTGTTTATCCAATGGGCGCTAGTAATCAGTGGTGCGCGCGCGTGTATGACGTTTTTACTACCGAGCCGGATAGATCTGAGACATAATGACGTCACGCTTTGTTTACGAAGCGTAACGACACGCTTTGTGTGCTTTTTGAGAGCTTTTGGTTCTTGTTCCACCTGGCTCGCATGCAAAAGCACACATGAAAACAAATTATAACGTCATCATGTCAAAGGATATTGGGCCTTCCACGGGCGTTATGCGCAGCTACCGAAAAGCTTGATGTCATACAGAGTGACTGAACACTCGTACCTTCAAGATTATGTCCACCAGTTTCTTGTCGACCCGCATCTTGCTGACATTTTTACCCAGCTGCTTCTCGACTATCCCCTTCCAATGGTCGGATTCGTATCGCTGAAGAATTTCGTCATCCGGACGCATATCCAGAAAGGGAAAAGCAATCGGCTCCTGGGGTGAAGTTTGATGCTATGCATTAAAGAAAAAAAAATAGTCATACAGAATTAATTAAACTTTTCTTTAACAGATGAAACACTTTTGTCGCCAAAATATATGTCGCCCGCAACATTGATTTCTTTAATATTTTTTTTCTCTGTGGCATACCGTTGTTCATTTGATTGTAAAATGTATATTTTAATTATTTACATCACTGAAGTTAATCAATTCGAATGGACGACAAGGTATCGTATATGGTCGATCGTAATTACATTTAATTGAAAGACTCCCCAACCATTTCTCCCAAAATCCAAGACCGGAAGACCTTCTTCCGGTTTCAATCATGTACATTTGACGGACAAAGGAACAACTGTTTTATCATTCTACCCATCCCTCTGTATGTCCTACAATAACAAGTTCTCTTCAAAATTACAACATATGACAGTCTCGTGTGGAATGTGGTGGAATTCAAGCCAGGGTAACAGGAAGAGTTAACTATGATTCCGGGGCTTAAATACTTAAAGTTTTAATCACAGGCGGTGAATGACACATCTTGACAAGCTCTAAATCATGCTTATTTAGGGTTGAAACTACTAAGTTCAATCATAACATTGCCTACCTGGTTCTTATGTTTAGCTAAAACTGAATTCAGTAGTTCGACGGCCACTTTGCATGTGTCTCTACACTCCGTCCGAACTTCCTCAGACCGAGGGTCAGTCTTCAACAGCGCGTCTTCAACAGCTCGATGGCACCGACGGAGATTTTGAGTAAGGGCGCATGTTCCATCGGTCATTTTCGAAAAGAGGTCCTTTGAAGATGTTTTTCCGCTGTGACAAATCTGCGCTATCACCTGCAAAATTAAAGCAATCATCTAATATATAGACAGTAGATGTTGTACAGTTTTGGAATATAGGTTTCATTCTCATTTGTTTTGCAGTTGTCAGTCATGACAATTGTATGTGTCTTCAGGTTTGTAATAATTTTATTCGGTGTGCTCGTCATGAAGCACTAGTTCATAATTTTAATGCAGTGTTTGTTAGCTATCCTTACGTCAACTTTACCTGAAGTAATTCCCAAGTAGGCCTACTTCCGATCCGAACGACGAAGTCTTTGTTGCTTGACAGCGCTCTAAGCAGCTCTTCAGCTTTCTCGTACTTGCCATCTCCGATATCACGCGCAAGTTGCCTTATGTTCGTCCACAGACCTTCGGCCTCCTTCATGGCGTTGAAGAAAAACCTGCAGATCTCCTCGACTTTATCTGTGCACTGACGAGCCAATGTGACTGGGTCCTTGGATGTTTCTAGTATAGCGCTCAAATCTATGTCACTGTGTTTGATCTTGTTAACCAGCGAGTACAAGGTTCCAAGGAAAACTGGTTGTGCCTGAAACGATGGTGAAATAAGATTGGTAACATGTTTTATTTCATATTTAATGAAATAAAACATTAGATGGACGTTAGATGGCACAATCTTCAAAACTGAAGACTTGCATCGACCGATCGTCCCGAAAAAGCAATATTTTCTCAGCAATGTTGCTATCATATTCCTTTGCTTTTGTGGTCTTTAACTGATCAACAAAACCTTTGCCTCTTCTCTGACATCTCTCTATAATTCTATATACGTTTCATCTTGCAATTGCCGGTTTAAGAGCTGCAATGTATGCCTTTCGATACAACTAAATGAATGTGAAGGCCTACAGTGTATTAATTAAAATGGCATACCTTTAGGATTTGTTTGTTGAGCTTTGGGTAATACTTCTCCATGTCGATCCCGAAAAAAATCTGAAACTTTTTTTTAGCTTCCCTCGCAGCTTTGTCATCTAGTATCAGAGGAAAATACTGATTTTTCATTTCTTCATTGCCGAGCTCTTTTTTTCTGTAACAAAGAAACATATTAACATTATGTAACTGGGGTTGAGCACTTTTTTGAGAAAATATCTATCAAAAGATGTCTGTCTGTGCTATTGTCAAGTTTAACAGCAAAAAAAAGAAGACTTTTTAAATGTGTTTTCCCCTAAGAACTACAAACGTGATTGAATTGGGACAGCGAACGAAACCCTCCCGACACATCAACTTTTAGTTGAATAATTAGGGCCCTACAGATTTCGAATTATTTGCAGCCCCAAACAATTAAGTTCTCACATGGTAGACTGGTTCCCAATTGTTATCAGCATCGATACTGTAAGAAACGGGAACCAGCCTACTCGAAGGGCGCACCTGTTTGTGGGCGAAAATAATTCGATAAAGCCTTTTTTCCCGAGCGGTTGCAAATACCAAATATATTTAACAAAGGTATCATTTAAAAAAAATAAGAGTCCAGTTGAACATCCGTAATGAGAAAAAAACCGGGTTTGTTAAACAGCATAGACAGTACAGTGTGTCTCCAAAACAAACCGGGCCCGCACAAATCAGCGGCCATATCCAAAGAAATATTCATGTGACAGTAAATTTTGTTTGTTTCATCATGCTATTGATGTTGTTTTACTGCCTGTGAAAAAAATAACTGAATTGATGAACACTTTTAAAGCCAAGACTAGAAACGTCAGAGTTCCATAAATTCGGAATTTACACTTTATGCGGCATTAGCTTGTGCTGGTAAATTAGTAAAGAGAGGGAGACCAAGATCCTGTATCACACACGGACACATTTCACAAGCTAATGCCGCAACAAGTTTAAATTTCGATTTTATGGAGCTCTTACGGTTCTAGTCATGGCTTTAAGAGTTTTCAATCAATTCAGTTTATTTTTCCACAGGCAGTAAAACAACATCAACAGCATGAGGAAACAGAAACAAAATTTGGTCTCAGATGAATATTTGTTTACATAATGGCCGCTGATTTGACCCGGCCCGCGTTTTCTGAGACACACTATTATATACAGCCGTACATTTTAATGATTTACACGGGCTTTGTATTTCATAACTATCTTTTATTTTTTTTGTAAAATAGCTTTTATAACAAAGTTCCAGTTGCTTTTTGATGTTATGGACATAATACCTACCCCAAACCTGACAACAATACGGTCCAACAGGGGACGTAGTTTCTCACAGCAATCGGTAGCGGCATAGACTATTTCATCCGAAAACGTTTCCTTCTTGTCCTCTTCCCTTCCATCCAACTCCAGCTCCCCTTCGTTGTTTTCAAACCTGTGTCGGAGTATTTCTTTCTCCATGTTGAAATGCTCCCTCCAAGCCTGTCTGAAGAACGGCTCCTGATGCAAGATGGCCATCACATCACGCTTGATGGTTTTACAATTCAACGCCAATGCGTCTTTGTCTCTATCGCGGCTACTGAGACCCTTTTCAAAAGAAAAGGGTTTTTCCTCTTGATGTAGAAGATTGGTACCACGAAGGGAGCAACTCACGTCAATTTCCGCAAGAATCTATAATACCGGGGAAAATAAAAGAAGATAAAGATTATAGAATTGAAGCCCAAAACATTTCATGGTAGTTTTAGTTTGAATTTACTTTATAAACAAGGACATAAAAGCAACGACCTACTTGGAGGAATATCCATCTTGATGTGACTTCAAGACTATCTTTTTGGACTAGTCTCAGTAACTCCAAGCTCGCAACGAGACTTCCACATCTGACAGCCTCCCTGTAGGACACGATGCATTGAGACTCCAGTGGTATTGTGTCCTGTCCCTGTGTCCCTGACACAGATGACGTGGATGGTATCTGCTGAGGCTCTTGGTTAACTGCCTTGGTGTGCTGACTCTGTTTTTTTGACAGATCGGATGTGGTTGACATCTGCTGAGCTCCTTGGTCAACTGCCGTGGTGTGCCGACTCTGTTTCCGTAACGCAGAAGATGTGGATGGCATCTGCTGAGCTTCGTGATCCGCTGTCGTGATGTCCTGACTCTGAAGGCCTACCAATAATTGAAGCTCATTGTGTGCGATAGCTAGAGCAATGTCCGCCAATAGCTCTCGACTCTCCCTTTGTTTCAGACCGAATCTCATTGCACCCAGAACCTTGTCGTGAGCTTTCTTGAATGTCTCTTTTGCTTTTTCTGGTCTGAGATTTTTAGACAGAGCCTGTTGTTCTTCTTGAAGACCCATCTTCCAGTATGTCTGTCCCAAGTACCATGGAATATTGAAGTCACCCTCAGTATCAAGTTTTATTAATTCTTTCGTCGCCTTTCCAAAACTGAAGTTCTGAAAGTGTAGGATTCCGACTTCAAGGCATGGATTTGTTTTACAGTGCTTCAGCAGTTGGTTGTAAGCTGCCGTTTTGGGCTTCCTTGCTTTCTTACGTACTTGCCATGTACCAGACGCCTCGTCTAGATATTCAAACGAAGCTGCGGCGTCCATCACTTTGCGCCACATATCCATCCTTGATTCGTGTTCCGAAGCCGTTGGGGTATACTCGAGGTAATTAGCATATTCAAAGTAAAGATGTAGGTTGTCTTCGATTGTCCGGTGTTCAGACTGCTGCAAACTGGCATTGTAGATCTTTTCAGCTTCTTTGTTGTTCCCAAGACCTCTATGCACTTTACACAATGTCATATTTGCCAAATTGTGACCATTGTTGAGCTTCAGGCATTTCTGAAGCTCTTTCAGTGCTTGTTTGTTCCAGTTGGCTTTTTTCTCCGGAATTGCCTTGTCTTTCTCAGCGCATTTGGTGTAGCATAGTGCTAATTGAAAATGACTTTCATGACAGTCTGGGCTGCGTTCAATTCCATCTTTTAATATTGGTATGGCCTGTTCAATCTGTTTACCTTTGTAAGATTTTGCCAAATTTCTCACTACCTCTTGCACCTGGGGGGCTTTTTTGACAGCTTCCCTCATAAGCCGATATCCTTCTCTTCTTTCGTCTTCTGTTCCTCGTCGACTAAGGTTCAATCCAAGAGCTGATGTGGCCAGCTGATATTCATCTTTTTTGATTGCCTTCATCTTTTCCCAGTACTCTTTTTCACTGTTCATGAGCCTTTGGCCTTCTTGGTCCATCTTTTCGAATTGATTGGTGTCGATTCTCCTGTATCGTGCCATTCTGCCAGACATCAGCCCAGCCCCGTAGATGAAGTCCCCTTTTTCCGGGAAGCTCTGCAGCGCTACTTCGAACAGCTGCAAAGCAGTTTCCATAACACGGGGTCCTAGACGTGTCAAGGCTGTGGCGTGCACTGCACCGATCACAGAGTGGTCTTTATGCCGTAACCTCAACTTATCCAGCTTACTGAGCAGATCAGCTACCCTTTGTGCATTATGGCATTTGTATTCGATCCACATGCGATTCAGGAGTGCTACAACTCTGTAGCCGGTTTGAAGTTGAGCATCCGTTTTCTCTATGTATTTGTCGGCTTTGTCGAGGAATTCTCTCGCCTTATGGACATCCCAACGCTTTCCGTTGTCCCATACCTCTAGGTAGGCTCTGAACAAAAGGCCTTCTATCCTTAATAGGTTTGGTGTCTCTTCTAAATCATGATCTATGTTCCGTATAATTCGCTGGTAATCGGTAGTAACAGGAACTTTCAGATTCCAAGTGAAGTGACAAAAAGATCTTTCTTTCCAAGGCAGTGTTCTCCCTTCATCATTCTCAATGTCATTTCTGTAAGGTGTATAATAGTTCGAAAGAATATACATGTCAGTAATTATTTTTTCCTCCTTCCTTTCCTTTATTGCATTTGTTTCTAGATGTGTACCATGTGGTAAAAGACACTTGAAATGCATGGAAACAAGTCTTTGTTTTCAATTGCATCCTAAAAAGAAAACAGATTAAAAAGTAGACGTGTAAAAACGCTCGTATTCGACCTGAACTTTGTCATTAAAAACAAATACAGGGATGTATAAGGCCGAAAATATTGTAAGGACATTGTTGATAAAAAACACTGTAAAATAGTGTTAAAAGGGAGGCAAAATTGTATTCACTACCCTCTTGTGGTAACTGTTCTATAAGATAACGTCAAGGAGATAAAGAAAATGGACCAACATACAGAAATTAGGATGGGTTAAGGACATTAAGGGACTATTCTAAGGCCCAAAATATAGCGCTTTGGTAACAAAACCGACCGAAATTATCGGGTGTACTAAATAGGGCAGCGGTAATTTTTTTTGTATAGTTGATGACTTATTTTCATTGATTCACTTAGCCTAAAAACGGCCATCAAAAGTTGGTCTGGAATACTTGCACGTTTGCAAAAAAGTACCTTCCTACGGTACAAATATGTCTACTTGGCTAGTTGTCCTCCGATATATGTACATGTACATGCATGATGACACCATTATTGTCATCTTATTGAATACTGCCAACAAAATTATGTAAATAAAAGTACCATACCTGTCGACCCGCCCCTTTTTGGCAATGTTAGTGACCGGAAACACATCGTTTATTTGATTTTGCCGAAGGGCCTGTTAGCTATAGACCTTTATCATGATGCCACCATCTCAGTCATGTTCCCTGTATCCAGTAACAATGATAATGCTTTTTGTGCAAAAAAGAACCAGATTTTTTTTCTTTTTAGCCAAGCTTTAGTTACATTAATTTGAATGGGATAAAATCAAGACGGCCGCTACATGATAATGGTCTATAGGCCTACACTTACTCCATCATTTCGTCGATATCAGGAACTTGAGGTGACTTTGATTTCCGTTTCTCTTTCTGATTCTGTCTCATGTTTCTCTTGCTGCCTGTCTTTTTCCCCTGCTGGTTTTCCACTGTTTTTGTCTGAGGTCCTTTATCCATTGTTCCAGCTTTCCAAGGCAGTGTTCTCCCTCCGTTATTTTCCAATTCATTTCTGTAAGATAGTTCGGAAGGATAGACATTTCAGTAATTAGAAATAAAGGTTATGACATCAAAATGATGTCATAGGGGAGATGACTGCCTGAATTGGTTACGAAATTAAGAGTGGAGATGGAAGATTCTGACAGAAAAAGCGCTGTAACATAAATTCAGACTGCAGCAGTTTCTATAATGTTAGAGCTTTAGCTCAAATTCAAACGCTCACTGAATCCTGCTCTGTTTTATATAATTACCCCTTCCCTCCCTATAATAGTGCAAACATCTTCAGTTATCCAATAATTTGGAACCGATATCAAATATAGATTTTTTTCTCATCACTATAAACGTGTGAAGTTTCACACGTTTGTGAAAGGTGGGCACAATTTTTCCATGATGGGCATAATGAGTATCTCCCCCCATTTTTTAAATGGCTGAAACGCTTCTAAAAGGGTGGGTGAGTTTGCAAAGGCTCCACATCTGTAAAATAATTTCTCATGAATATATATGTCTTTGTGAAGTTTCATGCTTTTGTGAAAGGTGGACATAAAGAGCCCCTATTTTTTGAAATGGATGCCACGCCCCTAACATGGTGAGTTTGCGATGGCTCTACATCTAGAACATTTGTTCTCATTATATATCCTATATTAAATAGATCCAACGCTGTCTGTCTGTCTGATGTTGGGCTGTCTGTCTGATGTTTGTTTGTCACGTTAAATGCACTGGTTTTATGGAGAGGCTTCGTTAAATGCAATTGATACGTGGTCATATATAAATGCTCAACAATCGTTGTCCTCTGAAGTCACGTATCAGGTTAAAAAAATACCCCGAACGTTGCATGATGCTTAATCCCTCAAATGTTCGCTAATTCCGGTTTGCAATTGCAAAGGTGGGCTTTCTGTAGCTGATGTGCATGCAAGGGGATTTATCAGGGATGATGAATAATTAGTCGATACTTCGGGGATTTCTAAATGTCTGTCTCAGTGTTTGGTCAGATGATTGTATTTGCCACAGATATTTCTTATACCTCTTTATGATTTTTTTTTATCGGGGGGGGGGAGGGAGAAGCGGCTACTCCATCCAGCAAGCTGGTGCCGCGCGAAGCGCGGCATCCCGCTATGAACGTAAACTCTATGTCAGGTTTCATGCTTTTATGAAAAAGTGCACAATTTTTTTCTTATATCCGCTGAACTAAAGGGTGGGTAAAAAAAAAAAGGAAACCCAAACTGTGCCCCCCTATTTTTAATAGAAGTTCTGCATGTAGCGCTGTTCATATCCAGGTATGAAATCTTTTAGTAGAAGGACAATTCAAATCGCTCATGTACTTTACAAGTTATGGAATTCTGAACACAAACACCGTGTTCATGGATCACATTTTAAGGTACGTGATATTTCAGCAAAAAAGAAATCATGTCGTATCCTGAAAATGATATCAGAATAATCCCAAAAGTCTCCAGGGTAGCCAAGTAGAAGGGAGGGCAAGACTATAAACACTTGACATTATAAAGCATACTATTTTAGCATTCGAAGAAGTAGGTTTTTAAATAAATGTCATTGTAAGTGCCAGTTATCATAGTTTTTAGAGTGTTCTGTGATCCGTGGACAAGGTTAAAAAACTAGAAAAGAACATGAGCAATTTGAATAATTTTATCACCATAAGAAAGCTAATTAATTTGGCTTTAATATCCTAGATCTGAAACGCGCTACATGCAGACCGTTTCCTTTTTTTCTACACACCCTGTACAGCCAAAACTGTTGATTTCATTTTCAACATGCAATTTCACTCCCACCCTGTCCCCATAGCTTTTATTGGCTATTTTAAATAATGTTATTTGACAGGGGTATACTTATACTACAATGTATGTACGTACATCAGATCACTGCTGGGGAATACTACAGGGTGAGTAAAAAAGCGAAACCCAAACCCCCCAAATTATGTTGTTCCATATTTTATAAAAATATGTAGCATCCAAAATAATAATGACTGGAAAGCCAATTTCACAAGGTACGTTTAGATGAAAAAATGACTGAAATTGGTCAATCCGTTCAGAAAATATCACCATTTAAACACAATGACCCTAAAACCTGTCTCGTCCAAAAAAAAATGCGATTTCAAGAATCGTTGTCGCAATTGTCTTCAAACATCACCAGCGATAAAAACTCAGTTTAAACGTTAAAATATTCAACAGATTCCCCTTGAAGGCCCGTCCTTAGAAAAGGAAATTATAAAATCATATTGTTTGCCTAACCGGGGTTGTTAATAATGATATTGTGTATCACAGTTGGTGACAGTTGTTGAAACAAGTGTTCTGTGTCATTTTCTTTGTTGTTCCAAACAGTCAAAACACACAATGAACTGCTTTTTTGGACGAGACAGGTTTTAGGGTCATTGCGTTTGAATGGTGATATTCTGTGAACGGATTGAGCGATTTCAGTATTTTTTTTTATTTAAAAGTAGCTTATGAAATTGGCTTTCCAGTCGTTATTAATGTTGGTGCCATATATAATTTTTTTAAATATGAAATATATTTTATGGGGTTTGGGTTCCGCTTTTTTTTTAACTCACCCTGTATAATATTATACTCTGTGGGAAAACTGTGTAAAAACGTAGAGAAATAAAATGCAATATATTTTAATGTCCTGAGTGAATGATTAATTTCTATCAAAGCCTTTTTTTAAATTTTTTTGTTTACTAATGCTTGATGAACATGGCACTTACAAAAGTCCAGAAGTTTGGTACTCGGAAGTCGTACTCGGAGGTACAAGTACTCGTTCTCGTACACGGCAGCCTAAGTACTCTGCAGTACTCGAAACTCGGAAAAAGTACTCGACTACAACACTGATGTGCACTGTATAAGTTTGCTGCTAACAAGGCACTGTATTATTAGTAAATCGTTGGATGAATATGAAATTGCGATTTCTATTGAATAGCCTGAATTGAGGTACCCAACCAAACATGGAACCCACTGACGAGGCAAAGGCAACATTTTGGATGCTGTGTATAGGGACTTTCTGCGCAGAATGGTCCGTGGTGGATTTTGCAAGTCAGCGCAGCGTGGTGAGGAACACAACTTTTCGTACACCAATGCCAGAGTTCACAAAATCTATAATAATAGGGCCAATATATTAAAAAGAAGATTGCCTGAATAGGCAGACGTCATTTTGGAGAGACAAAATCTTTTTAAGAATAAAAAAAAAAGACTGAGGTGTCGTGTGTCCCAAACTTCACAATCCTCTAGCTTGAGTAACTCAACAGGTTATGCCTCCAGCGTTACATTTGAATGAATATGGAGCATGTCAGCTGGAGTTACTCAAGCTAACAATCCTCCATACGCCTGTACTCACCCCGCCATGTCGTCGATATCAGAAGGTTTGGGTGGCTTTGATTTCTGTTCCTCATTCTGATTCTTTCTCGGTTTGCTTTTGCCACCCGTCTTCTTCCCCTGCTTATTTCGCACTGTTTCTGTCTCCATGGCCGCTGCTCCTTCAGCGGCGCCTCGCTGATCTCTACTCTCTCCGTTATCCATTGTTTTAGCTTTGAAGCTTTCAAAAATGCTTCAGTCTGGAGTAATTATTCCCTCCACGTTAATCGATTCGAAACTCCCAAACTGGCAGTGGCATCGTGATTTCTCACTTATTGCGTGCATTGCGTACTCATTGGAATTCCCCTTAAGGACCAACACTATCGATTTAATGCAATCGAGCAAATTATATCCATGTACTAGAAATAATCGATTGTTTGTAATCGATGGAAAATCCGGCTCTTTTCACACAAGGTGTAACTCAATTATCGTAAACCTTATAAAAGGAATTTAATTGTTACAGTATGAGTTATAGACTTTTGGAAGAATATGTTTTTCGAAGTGCATACTGCATATGGAATATACAAAAGTAATGTCAGTAAGTTGAGTGTATAGAATCGATACTATCTCTGTACCGATGTGTTTTCTCTTATGGACACTGATGATGTCATACACTAAAAATAAGCCTGGGAACCTTGAATGAGAAATTTTGATAAGTGGTAGTCAGACGGGGTGATTCGAAATATAAATCGGGTAGAGGGAAATATGTCCTGGTCAACCAATTTTCCTGATTCGGGGCTTCGTATTTTGTCGTTCAAATTCTAAATCATGTAATATCAAACGAATAGCTTTAAAGAGTATGTCGAATGATAGACTGTCACTAATACCCACGGTACCCACCATCCAAAACAGGGCGCTGGGAAGGGCTCATTTCTTAGGAAGTATGACGTAATTTCTTCCTGCCCTCATTGGATAGAATTTTTGTTTGAACAATAACACGGGTCAATACACCTAATCTTTACTACATTGTAGAGATACAATACTGACTGAACATCGCTTCGCGACCGTGGGGGATTTTGAAGCTCCCTTTGGTCACGTAAAAGTCTATGGAAAGTCATACAAATAAAATTAAATAATAACATGAGTAAAATTACACTGTGGGCAAAATCAATAAATAAGAACCTGTTTGATGATCAAAATTCGCTTCCTAAACTATTGTAATTCTATGTTTTTTATTTACGGATCCGTGCGTTGTGGGGCTTTGGAGCTTCAACATGACCACCGCGTGTGTGCGAGGGCGACACGGTTTTGTGCACACACATAGGTCGAAGTGCTATCCAGTCAGTATAAATAAGTACGGAACTAAATTATACGAATGCAAAGTAATTCCCTCGCTCCACCCCGCCCCCCACCGGAAAAAAATAATATACGCAAGAGCGACATGACCGCTGATCTATCACAAAATTGTGTTAAGGAAACGCAAAGCAATTTTGGTAGCTCTCTGCCACGATGAATGCAACTATGCGGTTCCCATGCTCCCTTCACATGCTGAAGTGTTGACAAAGAGTTGTATTGAATAGAATGCAAGTTGATTCAATAATTCCCATTCTCAGGCACTGTGTTCAACCAACAGGAATATCCCATAGCGCGCGATCGGTACAATAATGCCTTACGTTTGAATAATATTTGTTCATTTTATCGTGGAATAGAACTGCAAGGCCCATTTAACGCTTGGCGAGTCTATATCAATAAATTGAATATTGATGTATTCGTGTGTAACTGGTACCACGGGTCACCTCGACAAAAATAGATTCAATGAGAACTCAAAAGAGTTAGAAGCATGGCCTTGGATAGAGTAGTTAGTACAAACGTGTGCAAGAATTCGAAGTTTATTTATTTTTTAGGGCTGTTCACTTCGCAGTTTAATGACTTTTTAACTTTGTTATGACAGGACATACAAGAATATCCCTACTCAAAGGTTGTTTATTGTGAGTTACTAATAAGGCCAGATAGATTAGACCGTGTATTTAAACACAAAATATGACCAAAATAAGTGAGGACAGATAACATGTAAATTAACAAACAAAGTTACTAAAAGCATAATTATATAACAGCATAAGTGGTAAGAATGACACTCTGGAGCGAAAACACAGGAAACTATCTCTCATTTTTTTTAAAACCCAAATCGATTCCTGAACTCCTATGGTTTATAGTCGTTTGCCACAACAGATAACTTCATACCATTCGGGATGGGTACTCGCAAGTGTCTTGGACCCATCTTGGTCCAGCCTGTCCTCTTTTTTTACTTTCTCCCGGCTATAATTGGATTTTAATTCAATATAATCGGTGTGTGTGTGTTCAAGGGCGGATCCCGGGGGGGGGGGGGGGGGCAAAGGGGGCCATGGCCCCCCCCCCAAAAAAACTAAACCAATTTTTTTTTTTTATGTGACATCGCAATAAAGGCAGGCAATGAGTATACCACCATCTTTTCCTCAAAAAAACATTGGTTAAAGTGGTCAGAAATTGCCTTAGATCGCACCACAGAGCATCTAGAATCCAAAAATGTTTAACCCCACGCCGTAATTTTTTTGACCCACTTTTTGGGGGGGACCAGAATTTTTTTTGGCCCCCAAAAAATTGTGTTCTGGATCCGCCCTTGTGTGTGGGTGGGTGGGTGGGGTGGTGTGAGTTTGTCATACATTCCCTATGTGGACTTGTGAACAAAAGATGTCCACATGGGTTAACGTTATGTGGACTAAGTCGTGTCCAAATAACGTTATGCCCTTTCTGGAAAACAGGTTTAGAGGCATTTTTGGGTTAGGTTTATCAGTAGCAGAATGAAGAGAAACACTATAGGGAATCATAGAAAAAAAAATTGGGTTAAAATAGTTTTCACAGTTTAAGTAAAGTTATTTTTTGTACCGAGTTTTTTTAACTACACGAAAACAAAGGAATGTCCACACAAGGTATGTAACGTAAACCGGGGTGCGTGGGTGTGACTACAAATTCGTATCCTTGTGGAGACACACACACAATAGGGAACAAAACATTGTAAAGGTCTCTACAGGGCAATTTCTATAGATGAATAGGTCTCCACAAGGTTTTCACGAAATAGATATATGGGTTTTACTCAAAAACTAGGAATTTCCAAGGTGGGTTGATATGTCGCAAATGAAAGAGTTTTAGAAAAGGGATATTAAGCCCAAATTTCAGCCAAGGAAACTAATTCTGGTTAAAATAAGAGCATTTTGAAACTTCACTTTCAAAATTGAACACTTTACTACACGAGAACAAAGGAATGTCTCCACAAGGATACAAATTTGAGAATGGGTGTGTGTGTGTGTGTGTGTGGGGGGGGGGGGGGGGGGGGACTCTGAATACGCGCCTGCCCTGAGTGCGAGGGGTCGCGTGGGCCCTTAAACCTTTCCGTATCAGGATGACCAAACTGGATGAAATGTGTCCATCACATCGGGGTAATGTTCAATGACTCAGATGTATGCATGTATCCTTCAATTGTTTCCACACCTATACTCTTTGTGCATTTTGATTTTAGTATCAGCAACAACAAAACTAATTAATAATTAAGATACAAATTATGTGAATCTTTCCAAACTGTTTTACTTTCATTATTTATCGGAAATTCAATCAGTATTGACTGATTTGATGCGCTAGTTCACTTGCACTTTAATTGACACAAGACGTATTGTAAAAGCAGATTGAACAATACCAATAATAACACGCACAATATAAACCCAAACAATTACATGTAGGAATTATAACATTTAAACTACAGTGACGTGCATGATAACGTGTCCCGTAAACAAGCATTTAAGAGAAGGAGGAAAAAATGAAATCATGATAATAGACCCTAAACAATTGTTATTCAAGTTAACTTCTATTTGTATTGTGTGTACTTTCTCTATCTAAGCAGTCCATATGAGACCATACTGAACAGGGACCCATGGTCCTAGCTGATAAGAGAGGCGTCAGCTCACTGGCAGAAGTTAAACTGCAAAGAACAAAAAGAAAAGTTGACATTATTGGAGACTTGTGCTGCTTTATATGTTAAGAGTCGGCAGGCAAATTCTTTTCCGTAGGGATGGAGCAATTTCATGAACAATTCAATAGTTTTCGGTGAGAAATGTTTATGCACGAGAAAAAAACCCAATGACATCAACATCACAGTTTTTTGGTCAACTATAAGGACTTTAAAGAACGGCTATCCTCGAGCTGCCCCAGTAGTCTAGTGGATAGTTAGATGAGCTATGGATCGAAATATCGCTGGTTCGAGTCCCTGGACTATTTATCTTCAAATTAATCGTTGGGATACTTTGAATTTACAGGGGAAAAAGAGGAGAACATAAGTGTCTTACAATGGGTCCACTTAAACTTCTGACTTCTTGCACATTTTTGCTATCACCCTCCCATTCATATCGGTTTCGCGAAGCCCCTATTGGGTCCCTTGTCAGAAAAATCAAACATATTCGCCGCGCATGTTCCAAAGCACGGGTCCCTCATGTTTTAAAGTTTTATGAGCAAGAAAAGTACGGGTAGAAGGAATGTGAAAATTGGAAGCTTGACGGTATTTCAGAATTGAGAGAAAAAAATAATGTCGCTAGAAGAAGGTAATGTTTTTACAAGTAAGTTGATAATGAGGGACCAAGCTAATCCTTGACTTTTAAAGTCTCATGCTTTAGCAGAAGGGGATCCGCATGTGCATTGAATTATGTAAAGTTAATAATACGAAGAGTCCGTTTCTATAAGAGGTGAAGCCTGTTCAAATTAGTGCTAGCTACCCATTCAAGTAGCCCATAGTTAAGACAAGATAAAACCAGTGTATTGTAAAGAGAACCGGTCCAGGAATAAAGTAAATCCTGTTAATCACACCAATATTCCTAGCAATAATTATCAAACACTATCAACATGACCATTCAATGTTAGCCCGCAGTCGGCAAAAAGTCAAAAAAAACTTACCACAATCAGTTTTTGTAATGATTAAGTCATTAATCTTGACAAAACATAGAAGGTTACTACCTGAATCGCTGAACAACATGTAATTAGTTTTAGCAATATTAAGGGACAATTATCGAATGCTAGCCATGCAATTAGCAAGAGATTAAGCTCATTGTAAACGGTATGTACGAGATAATTAAGGTATGCGAAAAGAATACATTTGAGCCATCAGTATACAGTAAAAATAAAAGAACACTATCCCCTATTTTAAA